TAAAAATTTGTCTCAGTTTTTTTCTGGTAATGTTATATTTTGTCTCAAGTTTTGGGTAAAATGTTAAATTTTGCAAAATTTGGTAAGATTAGTACATCACTTAAGTTTTTGTCTCAAATTTAATGCTTAATTCTAGTTTTTCCTTTTGTCTCACAATTTTATTTTTTTGGTAAAAGATGTTAGAAGAACCAAATTCTTATTTTCTGCCATGTTATTAAGAAAGCTGCCATAGAATTTTCAGATGAGAAATATTCTGATTTTAGGTTAAAGTGCTTGCATTCTGCGTTGATGAGTCTATTCAATTGCATGTCTTAGCTTTTGTACATCGGGTCCCAAAGATTTTTCTCTAACCTCTTGAACTTAAACTTTCGAAAGTTTTGCTGTTTTAAAAATATCCGTACTGCATTATCAGCTTTTAACCTGCAACCGCTGTCTCTCTCTGCTTTTGTAGCTTTCGATACTTATTGCCAAGCGACAAGGTTGTCAATGGACTCAACCGCACAAGGATTTGTATCTGTGGAAGATCTTGGTGTCGCCTCTAGTACTGTGTCTAAATTTCCTCCAAGACTATTTGCTAGAGGGTATTACCCAAGTCGTTTGCGTTTGAACATATACACCATGGCCAATATCATCGGCAATCTTGCGGCTTCTCTTCAAGGTACACCCGCAATGGGAATTACCTGTTGTGCAATGCCACAACTCTGCCAAACTCATTCATGGCGTACTATGCCGTCAGCTAGTTGTAGCTTATAAGTACGAGCTATGGTTTACATTCCGGGATAATTCTCTTCAATTTTTTCTAGATGAATTCCAGCTGATAACTGGGTTGAACTGCCGAGCGTTGACATAACAAACTCCAAAACTGAGGAAGGGCCCATTTCGACAATATGCAACTAGCTTTTCGATACAACAGTCGGTGAGATCACAGTGCCCGGCGTGCTTGAGATGTTGTGCAATGCATATCTTCCCGAATGGAAACGTCTTTCCTTAGCCCTCATTGTGCTTGTAGACGGTGTTGTTGGTTGCACTAATAAGACTCTGAAAATCACCCCGAAGTATGTGGAAATTCTCAGTGAAGAGAAGTACTTCATGAACTATCGTTGGGGTAGAGAATCCTTCTTGAAGACTTTGTCACGGTTTTTTTATCGTCGGCGGTCAGGAAACACGTGAAAGACCCATTGATGCAGGTCTGTTTATCTCAACAAACCACAACTTGTTATGAATTTTCTCTTGTTCTTCAGTTGTTCGCCTTTGATGCTATTCCTCATCTCCTAGCTAAAATTCCTGGAGCAGACATTACCACAAATTTTCTGGCTGATCCTTTGGGTTGCAAAAACACTATAACACTCTTGAATGTTAAGGACATTGTAGACGTAGAAGCAGATCCAGCTGTGAGTAATTCCTCCCATTCATCATACTTCTTATTTGTTGCACTCCTATTTGTAAGCTTCATTAATGCTGGATTTTCCTTTTTAATTACAGTTACACGTCGACCTCAATTTGACTCCAGATGATGAACGTTTCCTGTGGGTGGAAAAAGTTGAGGAGAGTGACTCATTTGGTTAAGCCGCTACTTCATGGCTATAAGTTGGTGGACGAAATCAGCGCAGATGAAAAGAGAGGTCACCAGCGAGAGTTAAATGGTGCGATACATGTTCCTCAATCCAATTAGCGCAATCTCCAACCCCATAAACCTGCAGCAGTTGTTATCGAGGAGTCGTCTGAAGACAGAAAACCAGAGGATTGTACAGAAAGATGTGTACACACGAAGATTTTAATCCATGGATGTTAAAGCTATTTGGAAAAATGGAAAATGTCCATACAACTCAGTTTGCGGGATTGTAGAAAAAAATATACTCTCATTTGGGTGTGACTGAAGGTACCAACCAGCAGAGCCATAAAAGGAAGACGATGCATGTTAATCATATAATGCATGGGTCTCCCAAAAGTGTTGGAATGGAAACAAAACCCCCGCCCCGGAAGCCTAGAAAAACAAACTCAGTTGCTAGCAACCCTAGTTAGAAAAAAACATAGTTATTCACTTCAATCAGGAGAAGTCAAGAACATGTCTGAAGAGGTACACCTTTGTAATTACACTTTATTTAGTACCTTTTTGTTTCTCTGCATAGCCGTTCAACCTTTTTCAGGGTAACAAATGAGACAGCCAAGCATTTGAAAACATGGAGACAGAGAACTCCGTTGAGGGTAACAATGGAGACTGCCCAAGATACATATAGACTGAGGCGAGCAAGATATGATACAATTGCCGCTGATGAGGTTAACACAAGTCTATTTTACTATCATGGATAACTGAAAGGTGTACGTGGTCAGTGTAAATCTTCTGATATGTAGTGTAAAAGTATATATATATATATAGGGCACAAGAGGACTCAATGTGGGTGAGGATTGATCAGACAACTTTGTAAACACATCAGAAAAACCTTCAGATGAGGGAATTCAAGGAACTATGGTTATTGGTCTTCAACAGTCATATGTTTTAATATTGACAAGTTCATATGACTAGAGGTTTAAATATTATCATGTTTTACTCTTTTTTCAGACTGTCTATAAACAACCATTCGTTAGACCAGCTTTCTCTGGAATTAGATCCCCACTTTTCTGAGATGAAGCAGAGGATGCATCCTCGGTCGAAGAGGCCACCAAACCAGTTGGCTCAACCCTGAGTGATCTAAAACCTCTATCACGAATCATTAGGAAGTCTTTTCTCTGGTTGAAGAAGTCCCCGTCTGGCTGAGAACATTGAAGAAGTCTCTTCTCTGATTGAAAAAATTGGAGGTCCCCCTCTACGATCGTTGAGGAGAGCAATCATGTATCTCTAGTGTCCCCATTTTTGGATAGGTCAACATCAACCCCTGTTGGAGAGGAGCAGAAAAGTACAACCCCCATTGCGGCACTAAATGATTCCCCATACATGTTGCAAAACTAGGAAACCCCATTGCAACCAGCCGATCCTTTTTTGACATGGAGGTAGGTGAAAACGTTGTGCAGACTGGTTATAAATGTGTCCGGAAAAGTCTCAAAAATTGGTGGGGTGTACACCCCTGACCCAAGGTTGAAAATGTTGTTTTAGAAAGACAAGAAGTTTGAATATAGTCCCCTAACCACACCGAGTAAATGAGTGTTTAAGAAATTTAGTGACATTTTGAAAGTAAACCTTTTATATTAAGTTACTTTTATAGAAATTTGATTTTTAATCGAATACAAACATGACTTTTTATATGTTTTATAAAAATTATATATGCAAAAAGCTTGAAATCATAACCGGTCACGTTGTGACGAATACCTTATTCCTTCAAATAGCTAAACCACAACAATGGTTGTCTGAAGAGGTACTTTTTCGTAGGTGTACACCATGCTTTACAAAGATGTTTGTTATAGTAAACTGTTAGTAGCTAAGAATAAAAAAGAAAAATTTTATGCTGCACTTGCAGGTACCAATGCAAATGGTGTGGAGGCGTCGCAGGGAATTTGACAAAAAATGGATAGTAATGTTGGACCCGTACTTTACAAAGATCATTGTCTCGTCATGTCCGAATAAGTTGTACTCGATTAAGGTACAAACATAGTATCTTATGTGAAAGGAAAGAGTAAGGGCAAAAAGCGTAAGTTGCAATTTGTTAAAGATGTAGATATGGTGTACACTCCAATGAGCTGGTTCAGATCATTGGGTCAGTCTTGTTATTAACTTTCCGTCTTTTCATGTGATGATTCTTGATCCTAACATGCCCCACAATTCCAGGGACGATATAGTTAGGGGACACAATGCACCGGTTCTTGTATCTTTTCCTTATATTTGGCAACAATATACAAGCTATGTGGGGTGCCACATACAAGTACCTTATTATTTGTGGACCCGGTTAGATGGTCTCTATTACAACGAAAGGAGTGGAGACTGTGGGGCATGTTCAGCTAAGTTCATGGAGATGCACTCTAGTGGACTAACAAATGTGAAAATGTATAATATTACATAAAACATTGTGGACAGATTTCGAGAACAATATGCGATGGAATGTTATGAAGTATTCGTTGACAATGTCAGTGTGGCTAACGAGGGTTGAAGAAAGTAAAAGTTTGTTTCTGTTTGTTCTGTTTTTCTGAAAAAATAATTTCCCAAGACTTTTAAGATGTGTTTTGTTTTTATGTAATATAATTGTACTGGGTGTCCAAAACTATGATGTGTGAACTTAATGCTACGTTTCTGCATGTTTTCCTATGTAATTTCCAAAAGAATGTATTAAACTTCGTACGAAACAACATGTAAGACTTTGACTATGCAAACATGGATAACACCACACCTAAACGTAGACCATTTTCGAAATGTTGACAAAATATCTTTTTCCAATGTCTGCATCTGCTTTAGAAATTTCTATGATAATCTAGCTGCCGTATAGGCAACGTGGCGGAATACTATAGTCAGTGTCTGCTATGAAGTATAGCATGTCCATATACCTCTTCGCCTTTTTATCGTCACCGTAGCTGGGATCGGTCATTGTAAAAAAATGTGAAAGAAAATTTTAAGGAATAAGCGTTTTTAAATAAGGTAGTGATAGAGAATTCACAAAAACTGTGATAGAGCCTTCCAAAAAAAAATGTGATATTTAATTCTAACAGAAAAAAAATCGTCGTTAACCAAATTAAGTAGTCTAAGAACGTTTAATTATTCTCACCAACCTCTTTACTTCTTGGAGCGTCTTTCACTGGTCCAATAAGATAATTTTTAAAATTTAAAATTTTGAAATTTTTAATTGATTTAATTTTTAAAACGTGTTTGTGTGCTCTTTAATCAGTCCCTTTATTTAATCCCATAATTTTGTAAATAGATCAACTGGGGATCTAGGGTTTGTTAGATAGAAAAAAAGTTTGTTTTGTGAGAAAGAGAGGTTAAACATAAATTTTGCAGGTCTGAGAGATAATGTGTCAGGGTGACAAATTCCAAAGTGTGAGTTCAAAGAGTATCATCTTTTCATCCTCAACAGACCATGAGGTACGTTGCGACTGTAACCATACGGCGAGGATTGTTAGAGCTTGGACTCGTGAAAATCCCGGGTGGAGATTCCTTGGGTGTAGAAGACGTCGAGTTGGGGGTGAGTATGCGAATTGCAATTTTTCAGTGGTTTGATTTAGAAAAATCACATGGATGGCAACACCTGGCTTTACTTGAAGCGAGAGATATAATTTTCGAGCAAAAAGAGGAGTTAGCAAATCTGAGGATCCAGGTAAGTAAACAAAATCATAAAACCGCGAATTGCGAAACCTTGTATGGATTTGTTTAAAAATTTAAAGGAATAAAGCGAAGAATGTGAAGCTTTTAAGAGAGAAGTGTTGGTACTTAGTGAGAGGAGTTCGTTACTTCATAATGTGCTTTTGGCTTCATCGGTTTGATTTGTTGTTGTTTTGGGAGGATAACTGGTTTTTACGTTAAGGTTTAGACTGTTTGCTCTCGAATTTGTTGTAAAACTATTGTTAATTGGCTGTTAAACTATTGTTGCTTTGAATTATTCTAGAAAATTTCGTGATATAAGTATTATTTTATCAAGTTGTGGAATGCCAGCATCACTTTGATGTTGCTCTCACTGTTTTGGAGGTCAATGTTCCGAGTCACGCCCCATCAACCCAAGATTAATTTAATTTACCTATATACCACTTAATTTAATGTAAAACCCAAACTTCTATGTATACCACATGATTTATAGTGTACACCAGAGGTCTTTTGGATGACAACACCTTTGGTATTTTGAAAAATATATCTGTTAGGATATTTCATCCATAAAATACAAATTAGGATATTTTATCCAAATAGTCGTTAGGATATATCATTCATGAGATACACATTCAGTAGAATAGGAAATATATCTGTTATGTACATTTTAAATTAAAACATATAGCCGTTAGTAACAATATTATACTTTCTACTCTATTTAATTACAATGTTAAAAGATATGCTATAGGATAGACATTAAAAGAGTGAACGCCATCAAACACGTAGAGAAAAAAAAATAATTGACACAACTTAATCTAGAGGACAACTATATCAAAACTAGGAACCACATAATGTGAAAGACATTGTAACATATCCAAAAGAGCAATAGTTTTCGTAGGATCCATAGATGTACCCAGTGAATTCATGTCATAGATGCATTTGGGGCCTGGATAACCTCATCCTTTGAAAATTTAAAAGTTTCGGAGTATCAGATCAGATATGAAAGATCGAAGTATGATAATCCCGACTTAAGCGATTCTCATATCAAAGAGTGCTTCCGACCTAAGGTCCGCTTGATTGACTGCGAACTAATGAAAGGCTTTTCTGGCTTGGTTGTCTTGGCCAAGATATGCAAGGGTTGACTCAGAGTGGGTTAGAACATTTATACGCAACACTTTGATGGCTACGTTTAGCCCCGCCATCATGCTTAGGTGGAGACATCCTTGGTAGACGATGTTAATATTTCCAGCATTTACACCCTTGAGGAAGAACTCCCTGAACTTTCTAAAAATGCCGATTTTAGTGGTAGGGTTTTCTGAGACCATAGGAAGAATGTTGCAATTCTTCAAGACCGACGTTCCATGTACAAGACCGTACGAGCCCTGTATGAATTACCCAGGTTCATAAACAATTCCTCTCCAAACAATTGCAATTATTTTGCAAATGTTTCATCTGGTATAATAGGCGTTGTGAAGGTTTTCTCTTTTGGTTCAACATTTTTAGGAATTCTGAAAATCACGATGAATCAACTAAAAATTTATTGAACTACTAAAATAAAAAAGCTAAGGGTGTTGAGGGCAATAAATGAAGCTGCAAATTTTAATGCAATTACTCTTCCCACTATTTTGAACCTAACCATTACTCTTACATATACTCTCAACCTAACAACCTGTTCAAACAATTAATTCATCATTTACATTAAACTTATTACTTGTTCAAACAAGTAACTTCACTTGTACACCACTGCAATTGATATTTCTTACCTATTCTGGTGAGAATTATTGGTCAAATATTTTTCGTTTGGGCATAATTATCTAAGTTGACCAAATTTTTAGCATTGGTGGCCCAATCTATTATCTTTAATAGATCCAAATATTTTGCATTTAGGGGGTATAAGAATGATCTACGTGACGATTGAGTTTCTTGAGGTCTAATTCTCGCTCTGGAAAACAGTTTTTTTTTGTTATCCATTCAAAAAAACTTAACTATGACCTCTTCATTATCTGAATTCAACCATCTTCGTAACCTTGATGCTTGTGCCGCAAGTCCTCCTCGTGGTGAAAGCCCTTCACCTGATCCCCCGCAGATCAGCCTCATCGGTTTATGACATTTTTAATCGCGCCTTGAAGCAAGTCGAGGGTTCTTTATCCCCAATGCACCAGTTGTGAATCCATGGTCTCTTTGTCATGTAACTAAAGAAATTTTTCGTAAGTATCAACAATTATGCATACGAAGATTTTTAATCCAAGGGGATTTTACTGTTAGATGATCTGGCTATTGTTGAAGCCCGTTAAATCATAGATAATTTTGGGTGGATTTACATTGTTTTGCATGTTCAGCCTTTCTGTCCAAAAATAGTTAGGAAATGCATCTCCAACCTACAAAGTGCCGATGACGAAGTTTATATTAGGAGTTGAACTTTTGATTTAGACCCCATCGTGATCAATCAACTATTTAAGACACGAGCAAGTTCGTCTTTCCAAATCAACATGGAAACTGTATCCATTTGGTTTGTGTGTAACTTTGATTTCCTAAGTGGAACATAGCAAAACTAGAAGTACCATAGGCAACACAAACTGTTTAACCAATATTATTTTGATTTCTTTAAGAATAGTTCCATTCATTTTACTGGTCACGCAGCGTTTACTTTCATGTCATCTAGTTCCATTCATTTTTCTAGTTCTTTATCTTTCCAAGCTTTCCAGTATGTGCATGTATAGTTGAATTCCGTTTACAGCACTTTTGGCAATTCCATAGCACAAGGTCCAAAGTGGAGTCTTACGTATTTTGAACGCAAAAGAGCTGTAAGCACTTTAGATGGTCCATGTTTTTGGTACTATCCTATAACATCAGACCACATACGTAGGATAATCACCGAGTTTCTTAGCCATTTCCCTCCAAGTACACTATTTATCAACACATTTGGCTGTGATGAAGTGTTTTTCATGCCTGAACTTGAACCTGCACATCTTCGCTAATGCATAGATCTTCATCGTTAACTTGAATTGCGCTTTGTCCTTAGACATCATTCCGACGTGTATATCTGAGTCCTTCTTGCTGTAGTCGATGTTCTGCGGCTGGAAACCGCTTGTTTCCATATCATTAAACATATAAAACTACATCATTATATACATTTCTGAAACTTGTATCCCTTTCATGAATGCTTCTCCCTGAACTTGGGTAACGAGGATAGGATCAACAAGTTCATTATCATATTCGATCACACAGTTGTGTTCGCTGCTATGTTTGGGTGGAACTACAAGAACAACATCAACACTTTTGACCGTATCTTCATTACACCCAAACATTTCCAAAATTTGTATCCCTTTCATGAATGCTTCTCCACCTTGAACTTGGGTAACTTGGGTGACATGAGGATCAACAAAATCATCATCATCTTTGATTACACGGTTTTGTTTGTGGTTATGCTTGGATGGACTTAAAAGAATAACATCAATACTTTCGCCGGTTTTTGTTTCTTCATCGCACCCATTGCGAATGGTTTGGGACGTAGATATATAATCTCTTCCTTCATTTGTTTTGTCTTTGGAATGTCTCCTCTTGCGATGCTGATTCCTTGATCCAGGTCCACTTGTAGCACTTGATCCTTCGCCTTGACCAGATGCTTGTTTTCTAAACCCTTGGCCTCTTCCACCCCTCGCCTCAGAACGCTGACGAGCTTTAAGATCAAGCTGTCCACGACTCCCTCCTTTTTCTGGACCTCCATCATTATATTCATCGTTATCTCTCACAAAGCCATTTCGAACAAAATCATGCCAGCCATTATAGTCATAATCGCCATCTTCATCTTCTCGCACGTCATCTTCCTTACTTTTTCCTTGTCAATATTCATTTCTCCACAACCTACATCAATGTCATCTCCCTTTTTTTTCTCTGTCCACTTTCATTTCTCCATAAGCAACTTTGACATTATCTACCTTATTTTCCTCTCATCCACTACCATATCTTCTCTATTGTTATTTTCTTTATCTTGTTTGTTACGGTTTTGTTGAGCGACAATGGCAGAAGCCGGATTGACTCCACAACCTGCTTCAATAGCTTCTCCGCTCTTATCTTGATCCTTGGACTTATCATGCACCAGATTTCCCGTCTCTGAGTTACCTTCATAAGTTGCTGCAAGTGCTTCTACGTGCTTCAATACAAATTCATCATCATCAACCATACCGATCACTGATTTGCGACACAATAACTCATTCATGCAGTAGAATTATCTTTTCTTCTTCAACAAACTCGCTAAATGTAACAAAGACATTTACAGATTTGTCTGTCCTGTGATGAGCCCTGAAAATTTTGTAATCGGTTTCGGATGCTATCTCAACTAGTGCAGCCCCTTTACCAAGCATATCACTCTCTCCAATATTAAGTCAATAGCACATATCAGTCGAGATTTTCCTTCCCAACAGATCATACTCTGCAAGAATACTATCTTTCAGCATTTAAATGCCTTGAACAATTGACTGCTCTACCCATTCTATCATTATATATCTTGAAATTCTAAGCACCAGTATCATACAATATCCACCGACCAACTATAACTACAATGTAGGAATTAGGGAGACCTACACTCGGATAAAAAGTTACCGTTATATATACTATTACAAAAAAACGCCGACACACTGTCGTGTAGATTATGGAGATAATAGTGTACCTTTGATGGTGTTGTTACCAGTTTTCTTCCCTTTACCAACAGTACTTGCACCGCAGCTCAGCATTCCATGATTAGTTTTCATCAATTTCAATTTTGGTGGATGATATTCTACGAAATCAGACAGACAAGAACTCTTCTTCCATTAAGGTTCCTATATACTATCCACTAATCTTTTCTTTGTATCAGCATTACCGATTAATCACACCCACGTATTAGTTTATTAATATAATCAACAGAAATGAGTTTCCACATTTTGGCGGGAAACTAAGTTTATCGTCTGATTTTTACTGTTTTACCAGGTCCTGATTTTTACTCCAGCAACTCATAGGGTCATTTCCTCGCATGTGTGGAACTTTGAAATCTAGGTCGGTAAGTTTGTAGGTCATTTTTCCGAGTCCAAAAACAAAGTTATGTAGGTCGAAATAGGTAAGTTATTTGGGTCAAAAATCTAAAACTGTCACGAAAAAAAATCAATTTCTAGTGCGTATGTAAATGGAAAATAAAGATATTGATCGATCCATTCCTACAATCTATAACTTGGTGCGACTCTCGTCCAAAATGGACTCATTTTCAGATCGATTTAGTTTCGAAGAAGTATGTCATTAAGATTTGTTCCCAAACTATTTAAAATTAGAGAAATTATTAGAAATACCATATGTTAAGTACAACTTTTCAAAGGTAATTTTCAAAAATAGCAACAATCAAAAAATATACTTACATTACATTTGCGTTTAGGCTTTAATGATTATTGTTTAGGCTTTAGAAATAATCAGTAAATATAAAGTTTAAAAACTATAAATATTACATTAAACATCAATCATAATATTATGATAATTAAATATATAATATAAGAAAAAAAATAAGTAAATAAAAATATTTATTAAACATCTATCATTATATTATCATTTAATATAAAATATTAGAATAAATAAATATACAATATAAAAATAAACAGTAAATAAATATAAAATATAGAAAATGTAAAAAGTAATTTAAATATCTATCTGAAAAGTATATAGCAAAATAAATAATAAGTAAATATACAATATATGAAACATAAATATTACATTAAAAATATATCCTAATATTAGAATAAGTAAATATATCATATAAGAAAAATAATTTATAATTAAATATACAATATAAGAAATAAGAAAACTACATTAAGCATTTATCTGAAATATATAGTAAAATAAATAAGAAATAAATATATAATACATGAAATAGAATTAAACATATATCATAATATTACCATTTTAATATAAAAACAAGAAAATTAGAATAAGTAAACGTATAATATAAAAAGAAATACACCAAATAAGAAATGTTAAAATAACATATCTGAAAAGTATAGTTTTCAGGTTTTTTCTAAGGAAATATGTGTAAATATACAATGTGTGTAATTATACACATATTATATAATTACACATGTTGTATATAGTATATTTATTTTATATAATTATATGTTATTCCTAGTGCAATTATTTCCTATTTTCAAAAAATAATAAATAGTTAAACACAAATTTCACTTAGATTAAGCACACGAACAACAACATTTAAGTAAGTAGTTTCAAAAATATTAAGATCTTTAAGAAAATCTTATAAGAATCTACATAATATATTTTAAATTTATATCTTTTAAATAAAAAAGAAAACAAAGCTGCTTATTCTTCTTCATGATCATTCACTGGCCATTTTTGCAAATTATTTTTCAGTTTTGCAAGTTTCATATTTCTTCTTCCTATCATTCACATATTTGTTAATTCACCATACCTTAAGTGTATTTAAATTTTAAATTTTCATTTTCTATTATTTTCGACATAGTTTTTTTTCCTTCAAACATACGTCCAATTTCTATAACTTTAAATCATCTTGCTTTATATTTCTCTTATGATTATAAATGAAAACTGATTTTTTGATGATTACAAAATCAGATTTATTTTTCTAATTTTGCTTCTGTATTGTTCGGAAAATAGTTCTAATTTTTTTCATGTAAAGAAAGAGCATGCTACGAAATTGTCAGAAATAACACTTTCAATATACCACTTTTCAAATTTACACTAACCAACTTTAGCAATAAAATTTTAATAGGCAAATACTATCGTACCCTTAACTAATTAAGCTTAACAATTTAATAAGGTTGTGATGGATTAGGGTTTTGAGTTTAGAATTTAGGGTTTAGGGTTACGAATTTAGGATTTAGGGTTTAGAGTTTAGGGTTTAGGGTATAAAATTTAAGGTTTAAGGTTTCGAAATAGGGTTTAGGGTTTAGAATTTAGGGTTTATAATTTTAGGGTTAGGGTTTAGAGTATAGAATTTAAGGTTTAGGGTTTAGAATTTAGGGTTTAGAATTTAGGGTTTAGGGTTTACTTTTAAGGTTTAGGGTTTAGTTTAGGGTTTAGAGTTTGAATTTCGAAATAGTATAATTCGAAAAAAATAAAAAATATTTTTTTGTTTTTTGTATTTTTTATTTATTTAAATATTTATTTTATATATAAAGAACAAGAGTATAAGAGTCTTTTATCCTTTAATAAAAAAGTGTATTTTTGAAAATGTCTCCCTTCTTAAGGTAAATGGAATTAGTGTACCCAAAATTGTGTATTTATGCAATTCTCTCTTTCAAATTTAAGAGAGTGGGATGAATTAGTAAAAGACATGATTTATTGAAGGGAAACTATATAAGATTAAAAATAAAAAACAACGACATACATAAATTTCATGATAAAATCAAAAACATCATAATTTATTTATTTATTTACAACACTATGTTATTTTAAACTTCTTTACAGTAAAAATAACATATTTATCTCAAACATAGATCTATTCAAACATATATAATAATAATAATAATAATATTATTATTAATAATAATAATAATAAAAATTAAAAGAATAATAATTAAAAAAATAATATGATATTGTTATTATTATTATTCTGATTTTTATTTTATTTATTTAAATAGCAAATGTGGATAAAAAATGTATTTTCACATTTAATAAAGCGTAGTTTTAAGAAAAGTATAATTTATAAATTTTAAACTCTAAATAGAGTATTTTGCAAATTATCCCAAAAGAATACTCCATAGCTACTCTAATTCCAAGTAGCTTAGAAATTTTTTTAAAAATAAATTAAAATGATTAATTAACTTTTGTTAAAGTATTAATATTTTTGACTGAGATACCCATTTTTGAGAACTTAGAGATGTAGGTGCTCTTAGATTCTAAAAATGTGTCACTAGCATCGAAATTGAGACGTCGGTATAGCCGTGATGGATTTTTGTATTTGATTCAGTGATAAAAGATGAACCTAAATCGTCTTCGTAAGGAAAGGTATACTCGAAATGAATAACTTCATATATATTTTTTTTATTTGGGCTAACTTCATTTTTTTATGGGAAATTGGGTGAAATAACCAAAAAAAAAATCAAAATTTATTATCTAACTAAAAATACCCTCTCTCTCTTCATTCCCCTTCCTATCTCTCTCTCTCCCTCTCTCTAAAAAAACTAAATAATTTTTTTTTTTGGTTATTGAGCAAAAAAGCCCTTTTTTATTGATATCGAACAAAAATTGTACGAATATTTAATTGGCAAAGAAAGTGTCAGTGCAAGTGAGATGAGCTACTCAATTCTAGGCTGGAGTAATATATTTTTTGTTAGCCGTCCCTCTAAATTAGATTAAGTGATGGTCAGACAAACCGAATCTTTGAGGAACATAGGTTAGAGTAATAATGCCTGCTTATGAGTGTTTCAAAAAAAAAAAGTGTGTTCAAAAAGAAAAACTTGCTTCTGTGAATTCCAAGATCTCATGTGCTCCTTCAATCTAGAGACATGTTCGACTCTCAAGAATCTTGTCTAGCATCTCCTCCAGTTTACTATCTTGGGTGGGTGGGTGTGGGTTTGAGTAGAATGAGTTCCCATAGCTCATGTTGTTGTTGGGGTTGCTGCTGCTGAAGGTGTTAGACTTCTGTGAACTCAGGTTGAAGTTGCTTCTCTGGCCTTTGACGGAAAGGTTGCAGAGATTATATCAGTCCGAACGCACAGCGCAACCAATGAGATGGCATGCAGAACATTCAACAGATGGTGAGATTAGACATCCTTCAGATGCCAAAGCTTGGAAGCATTTCCAATCAACATATCCAGATTTTGCGTATGAGAGAAGAAATGTCTACCTTGGATTATGTACGGATGGTTTCAGCCCGTTTGGCAAGCATGGGAGACAATATTCTTTATGGCCAGTCATTATTACACCATACAACTTACCGCCAAACTTGTGCTTGCGTCGAGAGTTTTTGTTTCTCTCCATTCTCGTTCCTGGGCCAGAACATCCTAGGAGATCACTTAATGTGTTTCTTCAGCCACTAATATATGAGTTGCAACAACTATGGGCTCAAGGTGCTGAAATATTCGATGTTTCGTGTAAGGAAAACTTTCAAATGCGGGCAGTACTTATGTGGACAATAAGTGATTTTCCAGCATATGGTATGTTATATGGATGAACAACGCATGGAAGGCTATCCTGTCCATATTGTCAAGATAACACTGATGCTTTCCAATTAAAACACGGAAGGAAAACGTGTTGGTTTGACTGTGAGAGGAGATTCCTACCACCTGACCATCCATATCGTAGGAGTAGAAATTTGTTTACGAAGAACAAGAGGGTGTTTGACGATCCACCTCCAGAAATTTGTGGGGCAGATTTATTGACACAACTAAGGGATTTTGGTGCAGAAAGGACGCCAGACGTCGGTGGACACGTGCATTATCCGGTATATGCTGTTGGAGAACTACATAACTGGCACAAAAAGAGTATTTTCTGGGATCTGCCATACTAGAAGGATCATCTGCTGAGGCATAATTTAGATGTCATGCATATTGAGAAGAATTGTTTTGACTATCTCATGAACACGATCCTTAACGTTCAAGGTCAAACAAAGGATAATTTGAAGTCAAGATTGGATTTAGTCGATATATGTGCTCGTTTAGAACTTCATGTTGATGAGAATGGTAGGGCTTCTTTTCCTATATACCGACTGGATGCAGAGGCAAAGGATGCGTTCCTTGAG